CGTGCGTCAGACATTGTCTTTTATGAATGAGAAGGCCTTGGCAGGAGCAGCAATGTGGAAGTCAGTGCTCTCAGCTACATTTCCTTCCCCAGAGGGAGGCTCCTCACATGGTCCCCAGGGGCACCCTGCATGGCTGGGCCTCAGTAACTGAGTTTGGGGTGGGGGCTGGCTCCTGTGAGGAGTTGAGGCTTCTTTTTGGGGGCTTGGAGTCTGCAGTTCTCCAGTGCCCACTGCCTTCTCTCACTGTATTGGGGTCCAGAATAGGGCTCCCTACAAAAAGAGTCTTTCCCTTGAACAAAGAGCAGGCTACAAATCCTAGGGCATCTTCACACGTGCTCGGGGGGGGGGGGGCACTTTAACTGGAGCTGCTCTAATTAAAGCAGCTCGTATTCAGTGTCCCACAGTTCAAAATGGCGGTAGGGGCACTGTAACTAAAGTTCGTTTGATGAGCTTTATTTAAAGCACCCCTACCACCCTTCTGAAGCACAGGGGTGCTGAATACACAAGACTTGGAGGCTGCCGAAGCACACTAATTAGCCGCTCAGCAGACTTGATTAATGGAGTCTGTTACCACATGCTGCAGTTAAAGTGTGTCAGAGCAGCTTCCCCACACATATACAGGCACCTCCTAGTGACCAGTGCAGAGCAGAATATTATGGGACTTGTTGAGGAAGAAGGGGCAGAGCATCTAGACTTGCAGCTAACAGGGAAATGTGTCTTCTCATCTTCTTTACTGGCTGAAGTATTGGTGACCCTGGGCTCCCCTTCATGGGCAGACTTGAGTTCTCTCTCTCTTTCATATGGCATTAGATACCAACTTCTAAATCTATGAGCCACTGTCTAGTATCATTGCTCAGTGTATGGATTCCATCTACCCTGTCTGGGCATTTGTAAAGATTACAACTTTTGATTAAGTGCGGGTTTCCTGAGCCTGATGTGGAGTTTTGCACTGGCTGAGCCAGACATGGTCTATAGCACCAAGGTACCCATAGGCTGGCTCCCAGTAGTCATGCTGCACCTGGGCATGCTTGAGGTAAAGCACACACATTGCTAATTCAGTCCCAGTATGATGTCATCCTTCCTTCTGCTGCCACTGACTCATGCCCAGGGCGGGGTTGTGGTCTTGCCTCTCACAGCATCTATGGAACCCCAGCAGTGCTCCCAATAGGGGCTGGCCCACAGCCTTTGTTGAAACCAGGAGAGTATTTGCCTCATTCTCCTCTGGAAGGGCTGATAGAGAAGAATTAGCATTGTTCAGGGATAATGCATGGGGAGGACAGAACTGATGGTGAGGCTGGGAGACAAGCAGATGTGAAGGCAGAATTGCTGTGGGTTTGGCAAGGGCTGGCAGGATTAATTACCAGGCTGGGATGGGCAGGTAGGTGGGGTGAGTGATGTAGAATTAATTAATTAGAATTTGGAGGGGCTGGAGAGAAGCCAGAGGCTCCTACACCATCAGTCATTTGCAAAAGCTGCTGCAGCATGATCCAGGAACATCCTATTCAATACATGTCCAGCATCAGAAACACCAATTTTCCCTCACATGACTACGCGAGGGGAAGCAAAGGAAGTTGCAAATAATCAGAAGACAGAATAAGTCCACAACCTCAGCATTAAAAAAATCACATGGTATTTAAGCCAGTCTTTTTGATATCAGGGATAGACAATACTGTAACAGACAAATAAGTTTTCAGCTCTGCCCCTGCTTTCTTGTGTGACACTGGACATAGAACTCAAGCCTGGATCCTCAGAGGTAGTTATCTGATTAACTCTCCTTGAGTTCATTAAGGGTATAGACCACGGGTCAGCAACCCGTGGCATGCGTGCCGAGCATGGGACACAAGGCCCTTTTGCTCGGCACACCACCACCAGCCTGGGCTCTAAGCAGCTGCTGCTGGCCACGGAGCCCAGGCTGCTCCTGGGAGGCTGCAAATAGCTACTCTGGGGTCCAGCATGTTGGCACTCTGGCACCTTCCAAGGTAGACATTGTGGTTTTTTCAGCAGTCCGGCCAAAAAACATTGCATACCCCTGGTATAAACAGACTTAATGACTGTTTCATGGAATACATATAAACTGTTGCACCACAGTTGCTACTTCTACCTGATTCTGCACAGGCTGCAAAACCACTGCAATTTTAACCCATTTCATTCAGCATCACAGTTGGGGTGATTTAGCTAACTTGTACTGCTACAAGATCATGCAGACATGCAGACATAGGATAACAGTTAGATAATTACAACTGCTGTACACTCCCAAGTGGCAGCTCTGCTCCTCTTTTAAAGAGGTAAATGGTACATTTGTTCATACCTTAACAATTTGGAGCTTATAAATCCCTATTAGGATTTGGGTTTTATCATCTTTGTGCCTTTTCCTCATGTGAAATGGAGAGAATCTCACTCTGCCTGTCTTGGTTAATGAGGGCCTATCTTCAGAGCGAACTCTAGTGTTGCCCCTAACACAAGTCAGGTCCACACACTAACTCTAAAATGTGGCCATGTTCTTGACTTGATTTGGTTGGTTTGTTGAGGGATATAAGCTCAAACTCAAGTAGCAGTAGTCCGCAGCTGCTAATATAACCATTACACAGGGTGGATGCTGGCTAGCTCAACTCAAATGTGGATAGAGCTCCAGCGCCTTCCCACAATTCCCATATATGGACTTCCAAGGGAGAGACAAGTTCTCCCACAATTCATTGGGAAAGAATTGATAGAGCAGTTTTTAATGTTGCACACACATAGCAGTATGGCCACACTCACAAGAGGCAGAGGCTAAGTCAAGAGTAGAGAACTGGTGTGGGCTGAAGAGTCACTAGACAGCAAGCTGGGTTACAGACTTGAGGCTGCAAACTCCTGAAGCCAGGGGTTTTCCTTGATTATAAGTTTGTACAGCACCTGGCACAACAGTGTAACACAAATACGGTAATAAGTAGCATTTAAAGATACACTGATTACAAGGAGGGAAAATCCATGCTGAGAAATTACCAGTAAACCTTCAAGGTTTCACCAGCAAAGGCACGTGTGTGGGGGAGGCAAGGGGACAGCCCACCATCTATGTCTTATGGGTCAAAACATCTGCATTTGCCAAGAAACCAGACCAGGCTCTGGGGGCTGTGGCTTGCAAGATGCTATATGCTAGGAACCCAGGCTGTGCAGCACCCTGGAGTATCTTTTCCATCTCCCCTCCCTTCCCTCCCTCCCACAAAAGAATGAGGAATTTCAGGACTCATTCCATTCACACCAATGCTAGCGCAATCTGACTCTTGTTCTCCATGGGAACTGAACACTCATAACTCCTTTTGACTTCATTAGGATTTGCAGTTGGCCAGCACCCCATTTTGTTACAGACTTACCCTGATATTTATGAGAGAGAGTCTGGCTGTTAATTCTCCAGTACCGTACTTGCCTTGAGGGGGTTTTTAGTGCTAAATTAGGTCCATTTTAGGGGAAGTACTGACTAAGCGTTTGCTTTGTTTTTTGTTTCCCTTCTCTACTAAAACCCCCTTGAATCTGATGCAGTTTTGAAACAGTCTGCTCTGTAACAGTTGGGGACAAGCTTGGTAACAGTGAAATAGAAACAGAGAATGACAGGGGTGCTGAATCTAACAACAAAATTCCCCAAGCCAAATTTAGTCTTAGCAACCTCAGCTTCTGTGGAAGCACAATAGAGCTAAGAGGGTGAGGAGCAATGCATATACAAATATTACTCAAGATTGGATTAGTCTTTGAGGGATTAATGGGGGGTATTTTCTCATCCCTGAATATTCTTATTTTTGACAGCTGTATAATGTTGGCAATATCACAAACAGTGAGAACAGCATTTGAGCCTGGCTCTCTAATCTAGAGCTATAGCATTATAAACTCATAGAAAACAGGAGTCTTGGGTCTTGAAAGGTTGTCTAGTGCAACTGCCACCAGAAACATCTCTAAAAATCATTGTTGGTTAATGTACAGGATCACAGAAAAATGAGAAGATCATAGAAAAAAGTAGGTTAGGTTATATGCTGTGGGAGGGATTCATTTTAACAGTAATAGAATAAACTAATAACTAATTAAATGGCATTTTTAGAACATTAGCATTTTTTAAAGATTTAGAATCTTAACATTATTTGCAGCTTGAATACTGGGAGCCTGAGCATTTGCACTGAAATGTTATAAACAAGATCATATGATCCAGCATTGCTGTAGTGTCACATCAATGCCTGTGCAAATAACATGGTCAAGACCATGGTGTTGTGCCGCAGGTTGACAGACTTCTCTAGAATTTGTTTGGAAAACTGGGCTTCTATTTCATTGCTTTCTGCACTTTTGCTATGAAATTTTTAAGGAGAAATGTTGAAACATTCCAGAGGAAACCAGAAAGCCCTAAGCAAAGGAAGAAACATTTCCAGAGAATAGTTCACAGCTAAGTCACTTCTGCTTACATACAACCACTCTCTCTCTCTCTCTCTCTGAAAAAGAAGGAAAAACTTTGTTTTGTAATCACAATTTGAAGAAAAGCTGAAATTAATTTTTTTGTTTTATCTTATTCAATACACCATCTCTTCTGTGCTAGGGCACATCGTATCTGCATTCTGGGAACTCTGCTACATGAGTGATCTATATCATCATAGCCATTAATAACAGCAACATCATCACGAAGACAACAGGATCCCAAAGGCAACAGGAGCACTCTGCAGTGTCCTAGGGCACTATACAGTAGGAGGTAGAGAATTCTATGGAATCCAGAGTGGGAATTCCCCTAGTCTGGGCATGCCTGACATGTTTCCCAGCCAACTGCAGGAGACGCTTAGTTGTAGACTCTGGGAATACTTGAGTCAAGTTACCAGTACTCGCAGTTGAAAATTGCAAACATGGGACAGTTCCACAAATTCTGAAAGGATAAAAAAGTTACCAAAAAACTGCTGCTGACTTCATGAAAAATATGTGGCGCGGTTAGTGGCTCACTGTCCTTTGTATCCAGAAATCAAAAAAAATAAGCATCCAGATTGTCAGAAACTCACCTTCACAAAAAGCTCAATTTCAGGCTCCTTTGAGGGACTGTGCCTCAAGCTTGCCATTCTGTCTTGCTGTGAAACTGTTTGCTTCTCCCCACTGAGGCGAGCTGAATAGTTCTCAGATAGACTTGTTGAATGGTAGAATGTGGAGATCTGATCCAGCAGCAGTGGTGTAGAGCAGAGGCCCCTTTTAATGGAGATGCACCAAGTACTGCCTCTGCTCTTCACTCACCACTGGGCAGCTGTGTTGTTTTCTTTTCCTTCCTTCCAATTATAAATTGAGGAGGAGTTACAGGGTGTGTACGATGACCTGCTGTGAAGTGGGTGGGAGGGGGAACTTCCACAGAGGCGTCCAAGCTGTGACTCAGCACCCCCATCTATCTGAAAAAATGCACAAGGTCCTTCTCTCATATATCAAGCCAGCCAGATGTTATTGCCCATGGGCTCTTGTCCCAGAAAAGTCCAATTTCATTACTGTAAACTCCCACCCACAAGAGCCTTTATCACAGGAAATGGGCTGCCTTGCGCTTCATGAGTTTGAGAGGTCACTTATCTAATAAGGCTGTTGAGAAGGGAAAAGGTTTCCACCTTCAGAGAACATCTCTTCCTTGACCCCTACATTTTCCTGTCAAACACTCAGAGCAAAAATAATTAGTGAGTGACCTGAGATTCGTGTATAATGGGATCATCTTTCCTCCACCAAACACAAGGTTCAAGAACATGCACCCAAATCCTATTTTACCTTTTATGTGTCTAAGTGACACTTAGCTGTCTAAAGGTAAATGTACACTTGGTACATACTGGTACACAACCTTTAGACCCTATTTCCACCTGTGCAACCAGCATGCTCAGAAAGGATTTGCTATGAACATTTATGCTCTTGTAAAATCCTGGTCCTCTAGGAAAAATGCATAATTCCATATAAGCCCCCACAACTTTATCTACAGTAAAACTACAAGAAAGAGCAAGAGCAGAAGCAGAAGTAGAGGAGGACTCTGGCTCAAATTTGGGAGATTTACACAGACCTATGAGCTTTCCCAAGCAGAATGTGGCATGTGCGAATAAGATTGCAAGCAGAATAAGATTGTAACAGAGCGTAAGAGGCCAAGCATGCTCAGAAAGACAATTGAGTTGCGCCAAAGGAAACAGGATCTAAAATCTATGTAAGCAGCACCAAGCGCCACACATCTGCCTTTAGACAGCCAAGCAGCACTTAGACATCTAGGCCATGTCCCCACAAGTGGGAACATGTGTTTCCCTGGGGACAAGCAGGAGCAGTACACCTTGTGTGTTACCTTGGGTGGGGTAGGAGAGGTTGGGGCCATCAACTGTGCTGGCCCAAGCAGCCTTATCTGGGGTCCTTGGGGCTTTGGACAGCTGCAGCCTCAGTGTTTGTGCAGCAGGGAGCCTGGCTGGCAGCTGGAGTGTTGCTCTGGATGGCCGGGATCTGGTTTTGGGCGGTGTGCACTGCTGCCACATGCACTGCCCCACTTTTTTTTTGGCATTGGGTTTTTTTACCCCCAATCTCCTGGGGTCAAGAAAGCTCCCTGAGCTGCCTAGTAGGAGTGTGGGGAACACCTGCATATGGTGGAGAATGCCTACAACACCTTGTCTGGATGTGGCCCTACAAGTGAAATAGGATTGGGGAAGATTAAACACCAAAGTTGGAATTGGGCCCAAGCTGGCTCCTTGAAGCTAAACAGCTTCCATCCCCATTGGGGAAGTCCCAAGGATCCAGGTCAGGGTTAACATTTCACACCTGAGGTTGCTCACTATTCTTGGCTGAGCTGGCATGCTGGACTTGAGCCGTCCTGAAATCTGTGAGTTTGGATTCTGATCAGGTCAGAGCTCTAGGTCACACTTCTTCAACATGGATAGATACTTTTCATGTGCTATTCCCTCATTTTCTTAGTTTTGTAACCCAGGTACCACCCAAGGGTGTGCCCTGTTCTCAGTTGAATGGGATAAGTAGGCAGGAGGGGGTGCTGTGAGAGGGATGCCAGAATTTCAAGCATATCCCTCTTTCCTCTGTGGAGTTAGCCCAAGCCCAAAGTTCTTAACTATATACAATTTATTAAGCTATAATATACATAAACATAAAACTAAGTATCATATACCTATATTTACACAATGAACATTAACCAATAACCAAGGTCAAACCCTAAATAACACTATTTACAACATCACAATGCAACATTTCAATTACAAAATATAAGGCGCAAACAGAAACAATCTTAATAACATCTATCCCTTAATATAGTCCCTGACCCGTGGCAAGAGACAGTCCTCCTTCCAATGGGGTCACTTAGGGGGGTGTCCAGGAAGCACCAGGGACCTTAGGTCCCTTAGGGCCTTTCCTAGGCAGGGGGCTGCTCACCCAGCCCCTTCTCTGAGTTAGCCCGCCCCAAACATATTTCCCCTGTGGGACCCAAGGGCCCAAAGACTCATGCTTCATCAGGGGGTGGTGGTCAAGCACAGCTCGATGGGGTCTCCTCTGCTGGAGTGCCTTTTCTGGCCTCTCCTGTGCTGCTGGGTTCCTCCTCAACTTGTGCTCTGCTGTGGCACCAAGGGCTCAGCTGCTGGCTCCTGGGTGCTGGGCCTCACACGGCAGTACTACCATTTCCCCATGCCCTGGCTCAGCACCGAGGGCTCTCTTAGCACAGGCCGGGCCCTTCAGGCTGCAGCCAGCTGTCCTCATGCTGGGTGGCTAACCCAAGCAGCCTCCGCAGCTCCCCGGCTCCCAAGGCTTGGGCCTGTGTGCCGCCCTGTGCACCGTGGGACCTGGCTGCTTGCCGGGAGATGGGGCCTGAGCCACCTCACTACAACCCCAAGGCACTTGCCCTGTGCACTGCCCCATGCACTGTGTGGTCCGCTGGCCCTGCTGGGGTTGCAGGCTCAAACTGCGGCTTGCAGCTCCCAAAGTCTGGGCTCTGTGCACCAAACTGTGCACCGTGATGCAGTCTCCCACGGCCAGATCTCCGCACACCATCCCTGTGCACTGTTAACAGCCCAAGTGGTCTCACACTGCTCCCAAGGCTGCTCACAACCCCAAGGCACTTGCCCTGTGCACTGCCCCATGCACTGTGTGGTCCGCTGGCCCTGCTGGGGTTGCAGGCTCAAACTGCGGCTTGCAGCTCCCAAAGTCTGGGCTCTGTGCACCAAACTGTGCACCGTGATGCAGTCTCCCACGGCCAGATCTCCGCACACCATCCCTGTGCACTGTTAACAGCCCAAGTGGTCTCACACTGCTCCCAAGGCTGCTCCTCCAGTGGCAGCTTCAGGAACCTTGGGCCTATTGCCCACTGGGGGAGAGCTCCCCAGCTTTTCTTAGCTCCCCTCTACTTGAGACCCTCACTGTATCTGCCCCTGTGCTGGTCAGGCTCCGCCCCTGAAGTCTTCCAAACCTGACAGTTTGCAGTCTTCAATCAGATCCAGGAAAGGGGCAGGGCTTTATTTCTCCTGCTGCCTCCTGACTGGTGGATGGGCTCCACCAATCAAAACAGCAGGATCTCAAGCCTGGGACTCAACTCAAGCTCTGAACGGTGAGTCTGCTACGGGTTCATGAATTTGTCACAGATACTGATTTCATCAAGGGCCATAAAGTATAACATCCTGGTGACCAGAAACCAACAAGATGTCCCGAGATGAGTTCCCTTTCCCAGGTTCTCTGGGATGGGTTCTGTGAGAGGGGCTGCTTGAAGAGGCAGAGGCTTTGATTTAGTTTGGGCCCCACACCCAAGGCTAGAGGAATTAAACCACCAGCTGAGGAGCCTTCTGTCTGCTCTCTGTGCTCTGTCCTGTGCTGACTGTTTGAAATGAGATAGGGACAGTCAGGATACAGGCAGATACTAGTTTAATCTGACAAAAAAAAAAAAGCCAGCACAAATCTGTCAGCTCTTGAAAAGAAAGTTAGGAGAGTGAAGACAGATATTGTTTGGCTTAGAGACACCCAGGGATCAGTGGGTCAGTCCACAACTCTGCACTACCAGCTCTGGAGTGGGGAAGTGACTCAGCTGGGCTGCAGCCCTTGCTGACGGGAAGGAGTGAATCTCTGTCCAACTCATTTTAAGAGCCTATTCCTGGAAATGAGGCAATTTCGTTAGGAAAGAAGATCAGCTTGCTTTTCCTTCATAAAGGAAGGGAGGCAAACTATCAGTACTGGCTGGTTGTCTTCCCCATTTTAAACCAGACCCATTACACTCACAAAGATAACACAAGCAATGCCAATCATTCCTCACCCTTCAGGGCTGATCCCTAACAGAGAAAAGAGTATTTATTACCTGCACATGGGATAATTTTTCACTTTCTTCAGAAGTATTTGTCATTGCCTCCCCTCAGACTCTATGGAAAGCATTACTGTAGTTTATCCTGCCGTGGCTGCCCTTAATGGACATCAGTTGGGCCTGACAGGCCTCAGTATTAGAGGCAGGAAAACCCCCTTGCCCCGATACCTGCTTTCACTTATGCTATTCAGACACTATGGAACCTTTCACAAAGGGACACATCTCTGGTAAAAAATGGAAGTGGAGGATGAAGCATAAAGTCTGAGCTGAGGTGCAGGGAGAATTCAGTCTTCCCAAAATAATCACAGCCCTGGTCAGAAAGTTTGTGTTGAAAGGCAATTTTGTTGACAAATGCTCTTGTGAAATCCTTGTATGGTGCATCAGAGTCCTTAGAAGAGGCATTTCTGCTAGGAGCTCCTCTTTGCTGTGCTGAGAGAAGTACTCAGTGGGAACTATCAGACACATTAGTTACTGGGGAGGCCTTTTCCCCAGACACTGACACCTGCCTCCTGAGTACTGCAAACTTTGAAGGTGTCCTTTGCTATTCATTGCCTGCACGAGGCCAGGAAGAAACTGATTATCTTGGAGGTGTCTTATTTTTTCACCGCCTTGATAGAGGAGATGCTCCCAATGCACATCAGGGATGTTAATTAAACCATCTGTCATCATGACCCTGACTGACAAGATCCTGTGCTGGTAGAAGGAGGGAGTCTATTTCCATCACAGGAAGCAGTTGGGGTTAAGTCTTAGCATGCCAATGAACTGAAGTGCAACAAAGGCAGGAGATTGGCAAGTGTACAGCGGTATAAAAAGGGCAGATATTATAGAGGTGGAAAAAGCTTGAGTTCACTTTAGTATAGCTACAAATGCACATAGGTAGCTTTACCCGAGACTACACCTTGATGTTCTGGGAAAGTCTGTGTATTCTCTATCACCCTGTCAACTGTACCAGTGGGAGTTTAATCTGGAACTAGTAGTTCCA